GTACACTTGATCACTTTTAATAAAAATTATTTTGCTTACCTTTGGGGTCAGTTCGCCAATGCAGCCAACCAGATGTTCAATTTTATCGTTTTTTCTCCACTTTTGAGTGGCGCACAGTCTGGCCCCGCATTTGCCTTCAAGAGAATATCGATAACACGGTTGTATTTCATAACCTGACTCTTTGTCAAACATTCGCAGAAAGTTAACAATGTGTTGCCGAATAATTTTTTGCATTCTCTGACTCTTGATGTTATAGCTAAAAGAATAAACACAAAGTTTTAGTTGATGTTGATCTAGCGTTTCCTAAAATACTTACAGTGAGTGCGCCCAATCGCCCTCCATGATTTGATTCAAAACAAGCTCATAGTCTTGATGTTCTTTGAACTTTAAAATTACATTTTTCAAGTAGTCCTTAGGAACTTTTGGAGGGCGAAACCTGAAGAGAAGAGGCAAGTCCAATGTAAGAGTGAGTCAGAAAAAAGAGAAAACGGAAAACAGTACCTGGTGTTCATTTTGTGAGTGGTAAAACCTAGGTATTGATCAACGACGAGCGCTGTGGCAATGTCATCGGCTTCGCACAATTCTGCTGGCGTAATTTGCAACTGATTGTTTGCCATGTTTCTGCTTTGCGACATTCTCATTTTAAAATGTATCTAAACAGTGAAGGTGACATGTGACCCGCGACCTGGAAATGGAGGGCGGTGAGCGAGAGAGTCGTTGCATGTGGCAGTTCCACACAATGTAAACAATGCCATCCTACTCACGTGAAGACGGTGGGTGGAGAGAGAGAGAGAATGGTGGAAATTAGTGAGACGACGACGGCACAAGTGTGCTGAGAGTGCACAGGAGCATAAAAACGTTGCCAGTCCCGTCAACTACTCTAGAGTTGGACCTTAGGAGGAACTGTCGCGGAAGAGGCAGCAAGAAGTAATGCTCAGCGAGTCATGAAGATGCATGTCTAGGCCAGGGAACAGACGAGAACGGCAGAATAATCCAGCCTAACAGAGGCAGACANACCTTAGGAGGAACTGTCGCGGAAGAGGCAGCAAGAAGTAATGCTCAGCGGGTCATGAAGATGCATGTCTAGGCCAGGGAACAGACGAGAACGGCAGAATAATCCAGCCTAACAGAGGCAGACAGAGAGAAAGAGAGAGAAGCTTCGAATGGGAATGCTCAGCGCAGGAGATTGATGGCACGAGCTGCAGTGGCGGCCTCACTACCTCGCGACCCACAACCGTCGTCGTCGTTCCAGTGCTGGGCCAGGCAAGTCAACTTTAACCTTTGAACTCCAATCACTGACAGCGCTTTTTTACTCTTCAAGTGGAGCCAGTGGATTTTCTGGTGAGCAGGTTACCAAGGGAAAAACTGTACAAGTATTTATCTCCGCCGTCGCTTGAAAAGTGTAACAAAAATCAGCTGTTGCAGACTGGAGTCAATTGGCGTGAAAGGAGCAAAAATGCACTGTGAAATAAAATATGCCAGATATTTAAAGGGAAACAATAGCAAACAAATAAAAAGTCTAGAAAAAACTGCTTCGCGTTTGAAAAGAAATATCTACGATCTGCGATGATAACTGATAAATGGAAGAGCAATATTTTGGCTGTTGTTTGTGAAATCTCCGCCCATCAATAAGAACGGGGCACCAGCGCCCAGGTGGTGTTTTTCTAGGTACGTCGACTCAACAAGAATCCCGTTCGCAGAGTGAGTGATGCTTTGTTTTGAACCGTAAACAGACTTTATTTCAAACTAGATTTCCCCAAAATGACCGGTCAAAGGTACGGAAGGTCAAGAGATGAGAGACGATTCAGGTGGCTATGTACGAGCGAGCTTTTCTAGAAGCAACGGCCGTCGAGGAGTAAGAGGGGAAGTGATGGAGTGAGGGGGAGGGAACCAGGCGCGAAAACAACTGGTGTAAATAGGGACAGGTCGTTGACTCAAAATAGAGTCCAAATCTGCCGCAGCAGATTTTCTGCCACTGCGGCTCACTGTGTGTATTGTACGTGTGATCAAGTTGATGGTGTCGTCGATCGATGTCAATCTTTCATCAGTAAATGACACTGGCGATCTGAACGCTTCCATCGACCAATATCGCCACTGTTTGCGCCTGCCAGAGCCCTCATCATTTGTCACCGCCGACCGATCGCCATCCATTGAGGCAACTCCAAGCCATCGTTCATCTACTTTCAGTGCTCGGCGCTAGCATCAGGAACTGCCGAGTCGAGTACACCCATCAACACAGCCAGCTTTCATCTCTACTTATCTCATTTCACCAACTTGTGCATCGTTGGGGGGCGTTGAGTAGCTTGAGTATTTGCACTTTCTTCACGCCTACTTTCATCCTTTTTATCTCTACGCTACAAAGTTTTCTCCCTTAAAATGGTAATTGTAAAGCGATTTTACCTGTCAAAATAACCTTTCATTCATTTGAATTGTTTTTATTGTTATGTGCGCAGAGTTTTCTTGGTTTTCGACAATCGGCTGACATTGACATCATCCTTGATGGAGCCGAAAATCGTAAGATGGCAGAAATCAAAACGGAANTCACGCCTACTTTCATCCTTTTTATCTCTACGCTACAAAGTTTTCTCCCTCAAAATGGTACTTGTAAAGCGATTTTACCTGTCAAAATAACCTTTCATTCATTTGAATTGTTTTTATTGTTATGTGTGCAGAGTTTCCTTGGTTTTCGACAATCGGCTGACATTGACATCATCCTTGATGGAGCCGAAAATCGTAAGATGGCAGAAATCAAAACAGAGGAGGGCAAAAAAGAACGATACTACCTCTACTACGATGGAGAGACAGTTTCCGGGAAGGTAAGTTAGTACTAAATAGCACTACTCATGTATTAATTTTGGTTTTAATTCAACCTCAAGGTGAACATTACTTTGAAGCGCCCGGGAACAAAGCTTGAGCATCAGGGTATTAAGGTGGAATTTATTGGTGAAATTGAATTGTATCAAGACCGAAGTAACCATCACGAGTTCACAAGCCTAGTAAAGGACTTGGCACGTCCATCGGAGCTGTTACAAAACACCAGCTTTAGCTTTGAGTTTGTGAACGTAGAGAAGCCTTACGAATCATATACAGGAACCAATGTTCGCCTCAGGTTAGTTTTGTCAAAACAATGTTTTTTT